ACGAGCTCTTATTGAGGGTCAGTAGATGTGGTACTACGTGCGTTTGATAGTGATAGTACCGTTCATTAACCTGATAATGACTATAGCGTAATTTACTCGTTCCTGCAAAGGACGAGTTTTCTCAATAAAAAATTATTACATGCATGAAAAGTGGCTTGTGAGGTCGTTTCGCACGATGGTGCAACAGCCGAAGTTGATGCAATTTAACAAAAGCTGTCATAGTTGGTACATCCATCGGTACTGTCCATAGGTGGTATTTATGCTTATTACAACATCCAGAAAAATAAGAAAAACATCAATTGGAAGGAACAGAGCGAGAAAATGATGCTGTTGAGGTATATGCCGCCTATCAAAACATCTAGAAGAATACTTGTGTAATCTATATCAAGAATTATTAATCTTACTTATACGAGTATTGAGGAAACTATCTCTTTCTCTTTCAGATATGTATCGGCAACACACCATCTGGTTGAAATATTACATTTTTCATATACAAACATGCCCCTTTTGCTCTAAGGTAACTGAGAAGAATTTACGATTGCATTATGCATTAATTTTATTATATTATTTTAATATTTTGATCAAAACTGAATTTATTATATCAGAATTGATATTTATCTATTGGAATCTTTAGAAAGATGTTTGAATTTATAACGGAGATTCACGGAAACGCCATCGGCGATCGCGAAAAGAAGCGCGGAACCCGTCGACGAGCGTAACGGAACGTCATCGAAGAGAAAAAAAAGACCGAGTGCTACAGCAGTGTCTTCGTCCGTCGTCGCACCGACGAACGAATCAGTCAACGACGCGAAATTCTCGCGCGTTAAAACCGGGATCGGTGCAGCTCGCAAGATTTCCACTACCAACGAACAACATCGAAGATCGTTATCGACTACCTCCTCGCGCTCGTCTCGATAACGATCGCCCGCGCAACACCAGCACTGTTCTTCGCAGCGAAACTCCGGTCGCGTGTCCGATACCGATGAATCGGATCGTAACGAATACGACGATGCTTACGATAACGCGGTGAACGACGACTACGTGATAAACGCTGATCCTCGACGCGATCGTCGGAAAAAAAACTGACACTGGTGTACAAACGCGCTGTCGCGTACGACTTTCCTCTGTTAACTGAGATAACGAAAGATATGTTTTATTTTTTGCGCGTTAACTTTCATTCGATTGTTTCGAAGGCACGCGACGAACTCGCTCTCCGCGTCGTACGTCACCCGATCGAAGTTAATCCGTGCGCGGGAACACTAGGGTGTACCGTGCCGCGTATCGGTGATATCGAGCGAGACTCTCGATGCGGAATGTTTCAATTAGATATCGATTCGACTAATATGGTACTATCATCCGGACTTCGAGGCAGTGTTACGCAATAACGGTCGTTACTTGAAACTCCAAATAACGAATCGAGCGCACAAGCAAGAATGTTCGATATCGCCCGCTTGGTTGACATGCGATCACACGACGCTAGCGTTGCGTTTCGTGTCGTGCGTGGTACGAGTAGCGTATTCGTGTTGTTGATTGACGATACGGGAGCGGTCTTTGTTGAGGTACTAGCAGAGTTTTGTCGTAGTACGTAGAACACTACGCGTACGACACGAAGCGCGCGAGAGCGTTTATTTTTGATAATAGAAAGATACTAGGGAAAAAAACGAAGCGATAAATGATCATTGTTACCGTCTACAGGTTGCGTGAAAAATTCGCGTAGCACGATGCACCAACGATGTAAATTTTTATCGTCGACCAATAATAAATACAAATATGGGTTTGGGAAAAAAGTTCGTAGCGTTTTTAATCCCTGTTATCCATTACGCAACAAACGCGTCCGATCGTTTCCGCTCTACCGCGCTACGCGTATCTCTAAATAACGAATCGGGCGTAACAAACGTGCCTGATCGTTTCCGCTCTACAACTTCGGTTGCCTCTCGTGGCGCTCGTGGTACGATACGCGCACGATAACTCGTATATTGAGTTTGGAAAAAAAGTTCGTGCGTTTTTGCGCCCGTTCATTTCCGCTCGACAACTTCGGTTGCGTCTCGTGCCGCGCGTGATACGAGTAGCGTATTCGCAAAGTTTTTTTGCGGAATTCGTTCGTATCAGGTGTAGTAAAAAGAAATCCATTATTTTTCCAATAGATAGCTTTAGTTATCTGTATCTGGCGTTGTATAAGTCCAATCGGGTTCCACTAGATGGCGTCAGAAAGATGAGATTTCGTACTAAAAAAACTTTTTCTGAAAGTTTTGTGTCTCAATTTTTTGCCAATAGGGACGAGGGCTTCTATGAGAGAGGCATAATGAAATTATCTTCATAATGGCAACAAGTTATCGAACAAAAACGGCGCATATTTGACCTAAATCGGATCATTCTAACTGTGGTAATTAAAGCCTTCAATTTCATGCAAAAAATAATGGATTTCTTTTTACTACACCTGATATATTGGGTCTGGAAAAAAGTTCGTGCGTTTTTTGCGCCCGGGTGATTCCGCTCGACAACTTCGGTTGCGTCTCGTGCCGCGCGTGATACGAGTAGCGTATTCGCAAAGTTTTTTGCGGAATTCGTTCGTATATTAGGCTGGAAAAAAAGTTCGTACTTTTTGCAGCCGATCGTTTCCGCTCGACTGCGCCATGCATAACTGAACGCGTGCCAAACGCTCAGCTATTACATGTAAGCAAGGTGTGGACCTGTTACCGGAGAATCCCAATGATAGCGCGCTCATTAATAATAATAATAGAGTGTACTCACCGAAGATGCGAATACTTCTTCTATAATTTAAACATCTTCGCCGTCCTCTTCGCACTTGACGTGTTCATTCGCGTCGGATTGCTCATTGTCCTCTTCGCGATCGCTGTGATCGATGATCGTTTGGCGTGCAGTTCGCGGTTCAAATAAATGTGACATAAAAAAAGCAGTCTCCATACGTTTTGAAAGCCATTCGTTATTTTTTATTTATACGATAACTTGATTGTCCATCCATTGCGATCTTGAGATATAGCTACTCGCGAACGTTTGCGCTCGTCCGTATAAATGGTTACACTGTTGAAAGCGCTTACTACACCGTTGCTTGGTAACTGCACGTTCAAGCGTCGTTTTCTTTTCAATACTGGTAGTAGATCGTTGTTGATTGTGATATTATCGGAAGTCGTACTCAGCGAAGGTCGAATAATTTCTGGTCGCGACTGTAACGAAAAAATGATATTAACATCGCTGATTCGAATACAAAAAACATAGTGTATTTAAGAATTATAATATCAGGTGTAGTAAAAAGAAATCCATTAGTTTTCCAATAGAAGGCTTTAGTTATCTGTATCTGGCGTTGTTTAAATTCGATCGGGTTCTACTAGATGGTGTTAGAAAGATGAGATTTCGTACTAAAATAAACTTTTTCTGACAGTTTTGTGATTAGTTCACTCAGTTTTTGTTTGAGCGCGCGTCAAAGATGGACACTAGCAAAGAGAAAATACGCTGTATTTTACAGTTTTTTCTTCGATAAAGGCGAAAACGCAAGCCAGGCGGCTGAACGAGACGCAATCGAAGTTGTCGTGCGGAAACGAACGGGTGCACAGGGTAACACGCATGTCATTTTCGATTGAAGCGAAAATGGGATCGTGTAAAGTATGTTCGAAAGAAAAAAACATTCGTTGTCAAAAAAAACATTTTATTGCTCTACATTCAATGCGCAATATGATCGTTGTGAGATCGCGCTCGCACGTTCGATTCTTCGACCGCGGTCGGTCGTTGTTGCTCACGATCGAATCGTTCGATCTCACCTCTGTCACCGGTAGCGGCTCGCTCAAGTGCCATATCGTATACAACGGCGCAATGCGACGACCAGAAGGTATGCGTGAAAGCGGGTTCGTCCGAACGAGACCAATTGGACAACGATACGCCGCAATGGTAACACAGGGTAACACAGGTCCTGTCACCGTGTCCGTTGTAGAAGAGACCGGCTCGAGCCATGAGTCGAGTGTGTTCAGTAGTCATCCGGGCGTGATGTACGAGGATGTCGTCGAACGTGGACACGCGCCGCTCAAACAGCGCGTAATCGGCGTGTCGAGGAGGCATGACGCTCGATACCGGAGGACCGTCCAATAACACCTTCGTCCAAATGTTAAGTTCCATGAGGGACTGTTGCGCGCACAATACAATATCGGGCAGAACGTGCGAAGTCGTCATAGTTTTTTGTGGTCGAATTCGTAGACTACGAATCGGTGCGAAAACGTGTCGCCGCTGAGGTCTCCTCGTCGACACTGATTCATCGTCGCGTTCGAGCGTCGACTCAAGAGGCGACTAGCGTGTTATCTGCGATAACGAGAGCGATGATAGAAGCATAGCCGTAGGTGAGGGTACCGCTCGATCGAACAGCGCGCCGTACGATTGAACGTATCCGACTCCCGCATCTCCGAGATCGGCGCTTTTGTGCTCCATGCCGCACATTCGCGGAACGCCCGTCAATTTTCGAGCCTGTGAAATCGTCATCCACAGCTCCAGACACGCCGTTCCGTTCCCCAGCGCGCTGTGCAACGTACGACGATCGAAAGCATCCTCGCGCGCAGTGCAATCGTTCGGTACGCATGTGCGAATCTTTCGTCGTAACGAGCCATATCGCCACACTCGCATTTATTCTTTTCGAAATTCGACGTGATCGACTCATCCGCGTGCGGAATGAGAGAAGCGCACGTGTTGCGCAGTAGGAACAAACGATTGAAAGGCGCAGTCACGTACCCATTGTCGCGTTCGTCCCACAAAGACGGAGGACACACGAATCGAAACCCTCCGCCACCGTCACCGTTCGGATTGTCAGGCAACAGCTCGTCAATCGAGTCGAACGCGAGCGTAGAATCGATGTGACCGTGCCAGATTTTGCCGGTGGCTCGATCAGCAACTGACCGTTGCAAACGATGATTCGATTACCGCCCTCGCCAGCGAACGCTCGCGTTTGAGACAAACATCGCCAGCCGTCGGAGCCGTAAACCGTCAGACTCGTATTCTCGTTGCAGATGGCAGCGTCAGTCGGCACGCAGTAACCGCCCACGCGACCGCGTCGTCTGTTTAGAAACACGCCCAGTCGATCGTAGTAACGGTACTCCACACCGTCGGTCACGCCGCAGTACGTTCTGCAGTCCACGTATTCGTTCGTCGACGCGACGAACGACGCGACGAACGGCAGCGTGTCTTTCTCTTCTCAATAAGCAGCGTCGAAAGTCTTTCTTGTGGAAAGTCGTTACGATGAGAAATGGATACTCTATGACAATCTGAAACGCAGAAAGTCATGGGTAAATCCCGGCGAATCATCAAAATCGGTCGCAAAATCCAATCGCTTCGAAAGGAAGATTCTTCTCTGCATTTGATGGGATATCAAGGGCGTGCTTTATTATGAGTTGTTAGAATCGGGTGAAACAGTTACTGTGGACTGCAACGTCAATTAATTTGCTTGAGTCAAGAATTGGAATGAAAACGCCCGTATACTGGCAAATGAGAACATCCAGTGAAATTGTTGCATGACAACGCCAGGCCACACCTTGCTTGCAATAGGAAAGACACCATAATGAGTCTTGGCTGGGACGTCTTGCAGCACCCGGCGTATTCACCAGACATTGCTCCATCCGATTATCACTTGTTCCGATCAATTCAACACGCCTTGTCCGATATGCACTTCCAATCAGTGGATGAGATCCGAAAATGGCTTGACGACTTTATCGTGTCCAAAGACGTAACATTTTTTCGAGATGGAATTCATCAGCTGCCTGAAAGATGGCTTAAAATTAAGCCATCTATAGAAAGCAACGGCGAAATCTTTGATTAAACAATTTAATTGACTTTCTTTTAAAATGAACCTTGAATGTAGCTGAAAAAATTGGATTATTCATTTGTACACCTAATATTAAGCATATTTTAACGGCCGAACTCCGCTGTTCGGTCGTCGCTCCGCGTCTCGCTCGGATAATGCTCGTCGGAGTCCGGGTACGAGGAGGAGTAAAGCAGCGAGACACTTGAGAACGGTAATATAAATAACTTAGATTTATTCTATGCTTACTGAGATACAAGAGTTCGGCCCCGAAGGCGTTGTCGCGGGTCGCGTCTATTAGGCGCGTCGGTACGGTACGGTGCGGTGCGTTGAGCGGTACACGCGCGCGTAGGGGATAGGCCGCGCGGAAGGCGGGGCCTATTGCGCGACGCATGTAGACGGTAACTACGGTAACGGCGCGGTGATCGGTCTCGCTTCGCGACGCTGGGCGTCTCGGACAATTATCGCCCAATACTCGGCTCGAAATCGCTCGTGTATAGATGGTCGCCGGACCGGAGATTTCTACTCTCGGTCGAACGCACGCACGCAAGTCGCGGAATACGCGAAATGATTTCGTCCGTCGGGGCCGAGGACTCTCGACAGAGAAAACGTACGCACCTTCCCTTTTCCCTACGTTCGCGGAGGAAAGCGACCAGGTGTTGCGTATACTCAGCGGAGACGGCGGACACACCTTCCCGGGTTCTTGGTCGCTAGACGGATCGCCTAAAGGCTCAGTACGCTCAGCGAAGTTCGCCGACGGACGAACCCCTGATTCAAGACGACGTGTAAAGGCGAGAGACTGCCGAGTACGCTCGACTGAGCACGCGCACGCACGAGCCCAGGAAGACGGGAGATGGCCAAGTATCGAGTACGCTTGATCGAGACTGCGGACGCACAATCTCGTGTTCTTAGTCGCCGGTCGGGTAGTTGGAAAGCGGAAGGCAGAGCGAATCAGAGCGGTCCGGATATTCTTTCTATAGACATAAAGCGTCTAGATCGAACGACTGTACGGATCGGTCTGATCTCTAGGAGCTCGATCACCGCCGTTTTATAGTTGTCTGCGCTACGATTGATACGGCGGCGATCGAACGGCGCGCCTATGAGCGCGAAGCACGGCGACGGCGCGTGATCGCGGCCCCCTGGTAGAGGGGTCGTCTGGTAAGCGGCGGCTAGACCGGAGCTTGCCGTCCGCGTGGAAGCGGAGCATCCACCTTCCCTCGGGTGTTCTGAGGCGGTAGCGGCGGCTGATGTTCACGGCCGAGTGCAGTATCAATTTTTGTACGCCGGGCTCCACCTCGACGAGGACCGGCGGCGGTGGCCTCGAGCCGACCGGTCGTAGAATTTTTGACGGTCGGACGGGGGTCGGACCCGAGGGTGGTCGCTTCGTCGAGGGGCGCGGTATCTCGGCTGCTCGTGGCCTCGTTGTTGGCGGCGGCGCGTGCTGCGGCGGCGGTGGTCGTTGCGGCAGCGATCGGGCTGGCGGTGTTTACTGCGGCAGCGGCAGAGTCGTCGGCGTCCGCGTGGGGCGGGTGGTAACCCTCGTAATAGCTGTCAGATCCTTGGGCTGGCGTCCTCGGCGCCCGGGTGGTAGGGGCAGTGGAGCCGTTAGGATCATCGCTTTACGGCGCTGCGTCGTATCCGACCGCTGTATCCTGGTCCCCCTCGCTGGAACTTGAGGGTTCGGCGGCCTTGGCGACGGCGGCGGTGTGCTCGCTGGTGGTAGCGGCGGTGGCGTCGGCAGTGACGTCGGCGGTGACGTCGGTGGTGACATCGGTGGTGGCGTCGCTGGTAGTGGCGACGTCGACGGCGGCGGGGCGGCCGGGGCTCTCTCCTCGTCGTTGGAGAGGGCGAGATCCGTCCAGAGGACGGTGAGATCCTCTATCTCCATTCGTTGCGGCTCGCTCATCGGAACGCTTGTGCTTTTCCTTGCGCTTGCCAAAAACTTCCTGGCTGCTGCTTTCGACAGCTCGAGGAAGTGTGAGCTTCGCTGCTCGAGGCCGTCGTTTTATACCCCGGGCCGTTGTCTCGGGTTCCCCTTCCGGGTCGTCGACCTCCGCGTCCTGTGGCTTTTCGTCGTTGTTATTGCTCGTCTTTAAATCTTGTATATGTATGTTTCTTAGCCACTTGCCGTTTTTGGCGCGGAGCTCGACCATTACCGGCGAGATTATCCGTCGAACTTCGTACGGCCCGGAGTATTTCGGCGCGAGCTTGGCGTTGAAGCCTTTCGCTTTATCCGATAGGGGATGCTCGCGTCGCCATACTGTCTCCCCTATCGTAGGCCGCCAGGAGCGCCGTCGCAAATTATAATAGCGCTCCTGACGTTGGAAAGCTCGCGCCAAATTTACACGGACGACCTCATAGGCGTCCTCGAGCTGCCGGCGGCGGTTTCCGGTGGAGCGGCGGTGCGGGTCTCCGGTCAGGGACTCAACTCTCGCCCGCCGAGTAAAAAGGCCGGACTGTAGCCTGTTGAGTCCTGGGCGGCCGAATTATACGCAAATTGTAGTGCTGTAATCTTGGTGTCCCACTTGCGGTGGTTCTTTCCCACGAATTGGGCGATCATCGTTTTGATTACGCGGTTTGTCCGCTCCACCGGATTACAGTGCGGCATGTAGACGGGTATGATGCGGTGACGGATGCCGTAAGCCCAGCAGAACCTCGCGAACTGCTCGGAACGGAATTGTTTCCCGTTGTCGGACATTATTATTTGGGGGCAGCCGTGTCGGTGAATAATGCCCTCGGTGATCGCCTGCTCCACTGCCCCCGCCGTCGCCTTTCGGAGTGGTCGCATTTCTAGCCACTTGGAGAAGCGATCCTGCATAGCGATGACCCACGCGTGACCGCCGGTCGACCGCGGCAGAGGGCCCATCAGGTCTATGGTGGCCTGTTCCCATGGGCCCTTGACCGCGGTGGCATGCAGAAGGCCCGTGAGTTTGACCTGTGTCGCCTTATAGGCGAGGCCTCACAGGCCCGGACATGTCGGGCTACGCCCCGGAACATTCCGGGCCAATAATACTGGCGGGCCGCGCGGGCGATCGTCTTCGCTATCCCCAAGTGGCCGGCGGTGGGTTCGTTGTGGAGCTGGCGAAGAATTTCGGCGCGTTGTTCTCGGGGCACGCACACCTTCCACTGCTCCTCCGCCGGTACTTCGCGGAAATCCAGCTCGTGCAAGACGTGGCGGAGGAGCTGGCCTTGCTGGATGGCGTAGTCTGGCCAGGCGGCAGGGTCTGCGGCTACCTGCGCCTTCATACGGTGGTACCAGGGGCAACCGTTTCCCGTGATTATGGCGCTCACCTTAGGTCGTCGCGATAACGCGTCGGCGACCGTGTTAAGAGCGCCTCGCCGGTATTGCACCTCGAATTCATATTGTTGCAATTCGAGGGCCCAGCGG